CAGCAGTACATGTGATGTGTAACCTCTGAAAAAAACTGCTTCAATTGGTCCCGCATACTGCCTGTATTTCAATCTGGAAAGAATAATTCGGGATGAGAGTCAAAACAACCAATCACAGCCAGAGAAGCGTCTGATGGAGTGTCAATCACAGCTCACACACGCTGAATCCCGCGACGCCCCCCCCCCACCTCACCGCTTAACCTGCCGCTGCCGCCCGGCTGCCGCAGTCAGGAGGATTCGCGTGGAAGTCATGGAGGAGCGACAGCCACCAGCGAAAGAGAAACTGCCCTTAATGCCCCTGCCGACAACTGCTTACACGGCAAACTTCGGTATAACCAGCATCTTATATCTAGCTGCTTGGAGGTGAGTGTTATCGCTCTTACCTGTTCACACTCCATGCCGCGTACGCTGCTTGGACGCTTCTGGTCGCATGCGGTAGCTGCGCAGATGCTGTGAGAGGGGTGGAGCTTGGAGGTGGGGCATGAGTGAAGCAGAGAGGGTGGGGGAGTGGCGTGAAACCTGTTTTTCTTCAAATTTTCAGTCGAAGTCTGCTCTCTTCTCAATGTTACAGACTGCAGCTTTAAGCAGAGGAGAACGCTATCTGACGGAGTTTAAAGGCCCGTCAGATAGCGTTCCCCCCGATGTCATTTACGTTGAGTTGCAATAAATGCAAAACTCTCTGCAGGTATTTGTCTTTGTCGTCCACTCTTTCAGGTGGCTTTTGAAACACACGGCGAGAAGGTGGGGGCTGGGTGGTAAGTGTTACGGGGGCAAGAAATGCAAAAGTAACGCAATAGTTACTTTTACTAGTAACTTGTTACTTTTATTGTGGAGTAACTCAGTTAGTAACTCAGTGACGTTTTGGGAGAAGTAACTAGTAACTATAACTAATTACTTTTTCGAAGTAACATGCCCAACACTGCCTGCTGCTGGTGGTATGAAACAAAGGGGTTGTTCGGGCTATAACTGAGAGTGGCAATTGGCTGCGTTAGTGGTGGACTAGCCTTCATGACTGTTTGTTGGACAAAGAGTCTTTTAATTTTTTCTATCCTAGCTTTGGCTTCTTGCTCAGCATATTCGGCATGCACTTTAGCAACTGCTGCCTTTGCTCGTGCGCGAAGTAAAGCATTGGTTGATGAAGCAGATAATTGACAGTTGCTTCCAATTTTGCTTGATTTATTAGATCTAGTTTCCATCCTGACTCGATGTTCAGTGCTAACTTCTCAGTCTTTCCACTGCGTTGTCCTCAGTGCAGTGTATTAGCTGAAGTTATCAAACAAGTTAAACTCTGATGCAATAACCAGGAGTCTGTTCTGTAGTTAATGTTTCACTGTTGTTTACTTGAAGAATCCAGCATTACATGGCAGAGTGGAAACTGTAACAAAATCAAAGTTAGACTATTTTTAATTTTAAGTTTAGCTTCACATAAAGTCTGATGAATTATCCTAGTAAATACATGAATAAAACCAATGTTTTTAAGCTATTTATTACATTTTCTATCTACTATAAACTTAACTTAAACTATCAATTATTTAACTTAACAATGACTTTTACTTATGACTTTGCTTCTAGCATCGTTCAAAGCAGAGTGCGAAATACGGTGTTCTGGCTCTTTAGGAAGCCATTGCTCATATTTGCGTATTGTTTCTAAGTTATATACTATAAGCTTTCTTATGTATAATATTTGATATAGTCCTATTTTGAAAGCACCAGAAGTTGAGCAGTTGGTGTCTTCCTGTTTAACGAGTAAACGCTGCATAGTTGAATTTGTTCTCACTGTGCTGCGTTTTTTGCCAGTACAGCATGTAATTTGATGTGAAGGGTGTATTTCGTTTAAGTACATATAGTACTATGTTTCATGTTGTGTTTGGAGGTTTATTACAAGAAACGTCTCCGAGAAGAGAAGTTTAAAAAGACGCTAGCATACGCGCTAACTAGCCGCTAGCATACGCGCTAACTAGCCGTTAGCGATGCCGCTAGCTAGCGGCTAATGTTAACATGTTGTTTGTGTCATGTGTTTCTGTACATATTCAGGGAATACGTTGAGTTTATTATTTAGGAGAATTGTGTCTATTTGGAATTGTGCCTGTTTACACAAAGACTTATGCACATTATTTGTTTGTTGCAGTTTGACTATTCATTCATCCATCCATACCAGCCAATAAATCCAAAGAAAAGGCTTACGGTGTGGTTATTGGAAATGATGGTTATCTACCTGCTAAGCTAAGAGTGAGGGCAGGACATAAATTATTTTTTTGTCGCTAATGGTCACTAAAATGTTTTTAAGCTCAACATGTCCAGTATTAAAATTCAAATCCTTTATTCACAAATATGCTCTGTTTTTTGCGAAGTGGAGCCAGCCAATCCTGTTCGCATATGCAAATTAGCCATGTGCTTTTCCGCAGTTAATAACACGGGCAACCAGACGTGGAACAGATTGTGTGAAGACAGCAGGTCTTCACTCCTGTTTGTTGGACCTCAACGGACCTCCTCTGCACAAATTCGACCCATTTTCATTCGTCAGAAACTGGATTAAAGCAGGACATGTGCGTGCGAAAGAGAGAGACAGACAGACAGACAGACAGTCTTTGTGCATGTGTTTGTTTTCATAGACTGACTGTTCAGGCTCTTGCCCACTCTACCAGATTCACAGAAAGCTTCATCCACCAAGCTGTCAGGAAGCTGAGCCCCCCTCAAAAAAAAAAAAATCACTCCGGACAAACTGTCTCCTGCACTACTATTAATACTATATTTATTTACTGTTCTTTTGCACTGTTACTGTTACAAATGCTATATCTTACATAATTGGTAATAATAATAATTTTTCTGCTGCCATTACCATCTCCCTTTTTGTACTAGCATAAGTATTGCATATTTTTTATTATTGTACATTTTATATTTTATTGTGAAATTGAATGTTTAAATTTTAGTATTAGGAATTGATCTTATCTGTTGTGCCTGTGCACTTTATCGGTTTCACTGTTGGTGAATGAGAAACGAACGTCCTTTTGAGTCCTTCAATGTCTGGTGAATCTGAAGAATTGACATTAAAGCTGACTTTGAAATGTTATAGGCCTACCGCATATTGAGAAAATTTAGATCGGTATTGTGCAACAATCGGGAGATGGGGACCCCCCCCCCCAAATATTGACAGGTATTTCGCACACTGGTTCAAAGTCAGGAATTCTTTAAGTAGGAACAATTTTCAGCAGATAGGAACTGAATGTGGAGTAATAGATGACAATGAAGGAAGTGGTAAGGAAACTACAGGAAACAGTATCAAAATAGAAGGTCCTATTTTTTCTCAACGTGTCATCATAAAAGTCTGTATATAAATCGCCTTAATGGCGACACACACATAGTATACATATACTTTTGTGAAAACATTTCTGACATCATGTGACTATTGTCATTTTTTTTCTTTTCATTTTAAATACTTGTAATTTCAAACCATTAACAATATTTTATATGTAGTTAATGAACTTTTAGAAAAAAGAGTCATGTAACAAAGTTTACATTTCAACTTTGTTATTTAAAAAATTTAAAGAGTTTCCCAAATTAAATAATAATAATCTGATTGATATAATCCCATTACTGATATATTATTATGAAACGTTTTATTGGTCTTGATTGCAACTGGAAAAGAACATGGTAAAGAACAGCACTAGATCATATAGTAAAAATAATACAATATGCAAATGAAAATATTGACTTACTAAGGCGTTGCATCTCTCCTTTTAATTCACCATTCTCACTGGTTTTTAATGAGTCAACCTCTAAATTAGAGTTATTCAGGCAAAAGTAGTCAATCTGTTCACCATGGTCATAATTTGATATTCCTCCTTCTGGTCCCTGAGCACACTGGAAAGCAATTAAACTCTTTAATTGGTTAGACTGCCTCACTGGGTTGAAAAAATGAACAATCAGGGAGCTGTTTACATCTGAGGAGCAACTGTGATTACGTACTTAAACTGGATATCAATGTGTTAAGGGACCAGAAGGATCACAGAAAAGGTAAATGGAGGGGGTAAAGCTAAAAGAAAATGCAATTTCAAAAAGGATTTGAAAATGTAAGCTGAAAAAGAAAATGGAAATTGAATAAGATGTTTTTATGTTTTTTAAATGAGTGATAAGGAAAGTTATTTATAATCAATTTATGAAATAGGATTTGAAAATATATTTCCAAATTCCAGTTTTTAATCATGGATTAGTAAATACAATTTAAAATTCCTCTTAAACATTTCAATTTAAAATTTGCGATTAGAAAATACTTTTCAAATTAGATTTCAAATTGATGGACCTGTTGAATTTGAAGTGACTATTTTCAGTGACTCTTTAGGTTCTCCATATAGATGATCTGGAATGAAACTGAAATTATTATCTCGGTTTATTTTCTTATCATTGGAAAAGTAGTTTTGGTTTAATTGTCTTTTGTATTTCACCTTGTATTTTCATGCACTGTTTAATGACAAATATTGTCCCCATTACAGATTTATCTTGTGTATATTTTTTTTCCATCACACATCTTTAAGACCATCAAACAAATCTAAAATTTCAAAAAGATAATCTTGATAAAATCAATAATAAAATGAGTTCCCTAATATTTAAAGGCAGAAAAAACGTTCCAACGTAACTTGACCTTTTAAACAGTATAAATGACTCTCCTTGAATGAAAATAATTAGTAATAAACAAAAATTTCAGATGGCTGAGATGAAATTAAATCAATTCAAGAGGAGTCTGTCGAAATTTCTACCAATGTAAAACACTCATCGGCTGTATCCATAAACCTTTGACTCAACAAGTAGGTAAATGATTAAGAAGCCAATGGATTGTTTTTATATATTGGGTCCAATTGGTTCAATAAATGAAAAATAACATTCTAAAGCTGCCTTTTTTTAAAAACTTATGTTATATTATGTAATATCAAAATGTGTCTGACCATCTTAAATGTTTCTGTAAAGAAAGGGAAAATCTACATGGGGAATTTAGTTAAACATACCAGAGCAGGTTGGAAAGGAGGGATTCCATTGTCCATTTTGTAAGCATTCAATTTCCATTGATCCATCCAGTTGATAATCAGCACCACAGAGAAAACGCAACTTGTGTCCCACGGTGATCGGTGCACCGGTTGAAGGTATTCCACTTATATACAGATGAGGATGCAGTACACCAATTTCACAAGTGTTTACTGAAAATAAAACAAGGAGTAAATAAAGCATTATAATATAGTATGCCAGGAATTCTGACTAAAGCAAAGAAAACATAATCCTCAGTATTATTGTTAATTGTTTCACAGACTGCCCCTTTGCCTTTTAGAACTGTTATTTCATAGACACTAACAATCCTTGTAAACAAAACAGTTTACTATATGGGTGACGTTATGTTCAATAAGTGAAACATATGATTTATCATAAAAAAGAAGAGAAAAATAACTCATAAGAATAAAAATAATATTGATAAAAAACAAATGTATATAAAATTTCCTTTTTTAATTGAGGTAACCAAAAAATTATATTTCTTGTTTGTATACTCTCCTAGCGACCTCAACTACCAGTAGAAGAAGTTTCACTTACCAGTCTGTGACCAGGAAACATTCAAGCAAACAAAAACCTGGAGAAAAAGGAATATAAACCACATTTTACTGCCTGTGTTGAACTGATGTCTTCTTTGGAAAATGTTACTTTGTTTGCCTCACTTTGGTTTCTGTTGGAGCATGAAATGAGTCAGAAATGGACAGCCCACAGTGACATCACCTTTCCTTATTCAGTGTACCTTTAATAAATACAAAAAGGCAAGCTATGGAAGCCCTGAAAGGCAAAAAGGAAAAAGAAATCTGTATAAGAAAAGTTCAAATTATCCCTTTTTTTTTTAGCGGCCCTTAAAAAGGCCTTAAAGCTTACTTTCAGTAAATGCTTATCATAACATGTCACAAGTAATTAGACATGGGTGTAAGAAATAACATGAAAACAATTTAGATATGAATGCTTTATGATTATTACACATATCTGTGAAGATTCTCAGTCATCCAGGTCATGGTGAAGCTTGAAAAGTTTAGTTTAGGCAACCTTATTTGAAGTTCTAATTGGTGGTGGGGGCACTGATTAATATACTGTAGGTGTAACAAAGAATTAGGTGAGGGAAAAAGAAAACAAAAAAAAAAAACAAATACAAAAGGTGGCTCTGATCCCTCCCACTGGATTGTCCATGGAGGTCACCTGTGGGGTGTTAATGGTCGTTGGAGTGTTTAATGGGTCATTAGCTCCATCATCAGAGTGGTTTCAGTCCCATGCCTCATTGAAGTGTAAGTCTGATGAGGGCAGGTGAGAGGTAAATCTTCTGAGCAATGTTCCTGAAAGGGCTTTGAAAGTAGATGACAGGTTATGTCTAAGACCACCTGCTCTGTTGAGAGATGGTTTTTCAAGGTTAACAAAGATGGCTTCCTTAACCCCTCTCCCAAACCATCTTTCTTCCTTGGCCAGAATATGAACATTGTTGTCCTCAAACAAGTCTCTTTTAGTCTTCAGGTGTAGGTGAACATCTGAGTCCTGTTCTGAGCAATTAGCCCTCCTGTGTTGAGCCATGCACCTGTGTAGAGGTTGCTTGGTCTTTCCAATGTACAGCTTTATGCACTTTTCACTACACTGAAAGGCAGTGGCGGCCGGCCCATAGGGGGCGCTGGGGCACCGCCCACCCTGATAAGAAGAGAGAAACTTAAAATATATTTTTACAAATTAACTCATAAATGTCAGTTTTACTCTCTAGAGTGTGTACCTATAAGCAAAACTAATTATATAAACTACATTTCCCTACCTACTGTCATTCATTTGTGGATTTTCACAGACAGACTCCTACCGTCTCTGTCTTGGGGCTTTGATTAGACTGCCCCACATGTGCATAGAATCTGCCAATCATGTACTATTGCTAGGTCAATTTCATAATTTAATGGCCAATCAGCGTCTCAGAATTTTATGGTCTTGGGGCGCTGAAAATACTGCCCTTTAACAGGCTTCTGCACCCAATGCGCAGGTGCAGACAATTAGAGGGACGATGGCGAACGTAACGAGCGAGGTGCAGCTTCCACCAAATTCGGTGAGACCCTTATTTATCTACCCGTTTGCCAGAAGAACATCCTTGTTGTAGGATATGAAAATTTCATGTCATGGTTATTGTGACTGTGACAAATCCACCTCGTCACTTAAAACAACCTCTCTAACTTTGCGTGACACACACACATTCCTGTTATACTCTGCTTGTGAGGACCAATACGCTTGCGCTGAGCCCTACAGTAGCGGTCCATTAACTTAAAACACACAAGCTGTTCCTGGTTACCTGCTGGCGTATTGGGGGTGCACACTTAATATTTCAGTGGGGTTAACCGTGTGTGTGGATGTGGGTGTGTGTGTGTGTACGTGTTTATGCTACGGGGACTTGTCATCTTCAGTCTGGCGGCGTCTTTGCTGGGTTCAAACCCGAGGCAATGCTCAGTAAGCTCTTGTATGATCTGGTTGAACTGTAAAGTGCCTTGAGATGACATGTGCTGTGAATTTGGCGGTATATAAATAAACTGAATTGAATTGAATTAAGCGGTTAAAACGCCAGAGTTGTTGGAATGCGGAAGTGACGTCACCAACACGTGACTCGGTAAATGTTTGTCAGATTTTTTTTTTCTTTTTTTTCTTTTATGTTTAAAAGTTTGGTGTAATTGAAAAAGTCAATGAATCTGTGTAAAGGAATTAAGTTGTAAAAATTATTTGTTTTTGTATATCAATTGTTTGTGGAGGTAATATATGGACAAAACTGATTTATGAGAAGAAATCAGAAATAAGAGAGCCTGAGGGTAGGGGCTTAAACTATTTAATGAGGGCTGTGGGAAGAAGAGCGGCCATTTTTGTTTCCTGTTTCTTTGTTACATTGCTGGTAACTGGAGGGAGGCTGAGGCCCAGAGTATCTTGTATATGTTTAGTTTCTTTTGCACCCTGTTTTGAGTTTTTGAGCACAATAAATCACCAACACCGGTAACCCGACTGAGCCTGGATTCTTGGAGGCCAAAGAACCCCGTCACAGTGACCAAAATCATCACTGTTACTGTTATTATATAGTAAATTAAATCATTACTGTTAAATTGTATTTATTGTCCAATTGTTCATTTGAATTCTTATTCTGGATTAGTTGGAGACATACACTAGGCTATATCAGCCCCACCAAAAATATTTTTCACCAGCCGCCACTGCTGAAAGGCGTAAACCACAATGTCGACCTTGTTTCTGGGCATCTTCTTCTTGGTTTATGAAAAAACAAAAAACAAAACGAGGCCTGAGTTTTGCTTGTTGTGCAAGGCAAGTGAGAAAAAAAAAGTTATTTTAAAGGCTAACTTTTGAGTCTTAGTTTTTCTAAAACTTTGCCTTGTCACAGAACTTCATTAACAGCAGCATTTGTAGAATTTGTAGTCAGAGACCTGGTTTCCACAAATCATCGTTCCAATTTTGAAACTATATTTTTGTAAAGTAAAATAAGGTCCAATGAGGTACCAAGACTTCAAAATCTAATTCAATAATTTTTCATACTTTGAGGTTAAAAAACTATGTTTCCCAACAACTTTTTATTTAGCTGTTATAACTGAAATATTTATAGATAGCCTTGTAAGTACATATAATAATCTGGAAGCATCAATATTCAAGTTTTCTTATGTTATTTGTTACACCAATGTCTAATTTATTGTGACATGTTATGATGAGTATTTACCAAGACCAAGTTTCAAGGCCTTTCAGGGCAAGAAAGAAAAAGAGAAAATCTTAAAACTAACCACATTTTTCTTACTTGCTTTTATGGGTAAAAAAACAAAAAAAAAAACAGCATAGAACTTTTCTTATCTAGATTTTAAGTTTTTTTTTCTAACTCTCTTTTAAGGGCTTCCGTAGAAACAATATGTTTTAAGTTGATGTATAAAATTAGATTCACATACATTTAACCAGACTCTAGTTTTAGAAAAAGGTTCAGGTTATTGCTCCATGTCGAAATGTAACCTTTGTCCTTAAATAAGCAATGTGTTTGCTTTATCAACAAGTGTAGGTCAGGCTGGATTGATACGCATCAAACCACAATTTTGGTCTGCGTTGGGGTTTAAATCTGATGTTTACCACTTTCTTCAACCATTTTTATTTTTCTATGTTAAAAATATTTTTTCACCCATCAGAGGGTGGCTAAAGACATAAAGCCACCAGAATCAGTTTAGAATCTATCTACATTAATCACACTGTACCAACAGGATAACAAACTAGTACAACAATCATATTTTACAAATACATTACTGAAGACAGACTAGGTTTTCCTAAAGCCCTTGCTAATAAACATACACTCATATTTATATATCCTGGTCAAAGGTAAACTACACAATAGTCTTTTGGTTTTGAGATCTTGGTATCAAGGTCCTATTGTCATTGTGCATGCTCTCCCTGCACACATGCACTTCTAGTGTTTAATTATCTTGATTATCTTGTTTGTTTCAGTTTCAGCCATTCATTGTAGCTCCACTGCTCTCATCATATATTTAAAAACAACTTGATGGGAGTCAAAAGAAACCAGCTGTTTTACAATCTAAGAAGAAGATGAAGGCCTCAGAAAAAAGAAATAAGACTAGAGCATGCACAGCTACTGACGAAGTGACTTTAGAGTTTCATATATAAATTTCTGTTAAAAACATTTACTATAACTAATCATTTAGGGTTCTGCATAATATCAATTTATAGATACAAAAATACATTAATAAAAAGTATTTAGTTATTTTTTATCTTTCATTACTTAGGAGACTTCTAGATGACAAAGAGGCCGTAAAACACACAACGTAGTTCTGAAAAGTGCATTAATTCTGTATTTGATATTTTTAATATAGGTATATTCAGTAGTCTAGTTGTTAAAAAAAAGGAAGGGGGATGGTGGAATCTTTTTTTTTGGAAGCATACATAGCTTCATTAATATAGTCTATTAACCTAAAACAATATGCATGGTATGGTTGTTACATGTCAGGTATGCTGGTCATTGACCTTGACCACGGCACCTTTCAGTAGAACTGCAGTCAGTCCCTGGACTGGACTATCATGGCTATCACAGCCCCTACATAGTTAGGGACAAATGCAGAAGACAAATTTTCCACTTGGATCAGCTTCATAGTCATCGTAGGTCACTTCTTTGATTTTATTTATTTTGCTCAGGCTATTCGTAAGCCCACAGCCCAGCAAATGTTGAAAGGGGAATATTATTGCCATTGCTGTTAATATATAGTGGAGCTTTTACACATTCAGTAATAAAATGTCACAAGGGATGGTATGGGGGATGGACATTTAAGAAGGGGGATGTCATCCCCCCTCAACTCGAGTACTGGGTATGTGCTGTGAATGATTAATTACTATTTTGAAGTTGTCATTTTCTGGTTAACAAACTAAAGATTAAATTGTAGTTAGGACACTCTACTAGAGAGAATCACTGCTGCCACACTCTGTTTTAGAGCAGATTTGTTGTTCCTCACATTGGGAACAAAAATATCACCTACTAGGGATGGCTAGTGATTGTCTATAGCCACATATGAGACCAACCAGCTCTAATGTAGAGCTTACAGTAACCTTTGTAACCTGTTAGAGGTGATGCATCTAAATATGGTTCTAAGTCTATAAAGAAGAGCTGTATCACATTTTGTGTGGTCCAATGCTGCTGACTTTTCATTTACAAAAATCCACAAAACTTACAGTATTATCTCCGCTTGTCATTATAAATGCCCTGATGGAGCTAAGCAATGGTTCCTTTTGTAGTTTATAGATGGAAACCATCAGGACCACTCCTGGCTTATAGTGCCAGCCTCCACAGCCTCAGCTGATTGAAAGGGGAGCATAAGGTGAGACAGCGGATCATCTTCTCCTTCACCACAACAGTTGGAAATCCTTCAAAAACTCAGCTGTTGGTCTAGATGGTTTCTAAGAAATCTACAGAACTGCTTTCAAAAGTTTCTGTGGAAATGTTGATGCCCAAAACTGAATTTTACAATAGCAGTAGAAGTGGTATGAGGTAATATTAATCTAAATTAGTTTCAGAACGCTAAAGTAATGTTGAGTAATCGATTGACTAAAAGCAATGATTATGATCAAGTCAAATGGTTTAATTTTCTGGAAGACATACATACCTCAAGAATAATAAACCATAAAGGCAGATTTTAATTTTCCAGTAGCATTCAGCATCATCAAAATACAATATTCAGCAGATTGACAGAGGGTCAATGTTTGCATTGGTTTATTTATCAATAGTTCCTGACATGTTTTATCTTGAAACAACAGAACAAAGAAAGAGGAACATTTATATTTTTGCTTTGGGAAGCATTGAAAACATCGACTGGCCTTGAAACTTTCTTATGAAACAAGCAGAAGCAAAAGACTAGACATATTTTTCCTGAAATAACCATTAAAACGGTCAAATATACTGTCTACTTTCTTGTATTGGATAATTAGCATAATTTTATGATTGCATATTTATAATAAGCTCATTGAAAATTTTCACTGGCAGGTAGGCAGTTCCATCACACCATCAATACACTGTACACGCAGTGGCACTCTGCCGACACGTCTTCCTCTTTTACAAGAAAAAGAAATGTAATCCTTATGAACTATATATAGTTTGTTTTTCTCACTATATGCAAACCTAAGATTATTTTGCTCCATTAACTGCTCATCCACAGTGCAGGGATCTAAAAAGACAAAACAGAAAACAATCCTCAGTTAGTTTATAACATTAAAAAAAATAAAATAATAATCAATCATCAAAATGATCAAACTCTGAAATGCACATATGGATTAATTAACCTTTCACGTTATTTTTCACAAGGTCTTGTTAATTGCGTATCATGATTAATACTACAAAAAAGAGATTTCCCTAGTTTTTAATTTATACGGTCAAACCATACAACCTGAACACATAACCCTTGTTTTGTTACTCCATTGGTCTTCACATTTATACTTTGTCATTTATATAGTTTTAAAATTGCTGGACTGATCAGATAAAAACTTTTTGTGAAATGATTAAATGTATTGCATATATCAGAACTGAAAGGCATCAATTGTGTAACTCTGGAGTTATACTGCTAAGAATAAAGCTTCTCTGCATACGCCACAATATCACAGAGACTGCATGTCTTATAATTAAGAGTTCTATTAGAAAAGATGGTCAGTAGAGACACTTGGACAAAGTATTTCCATAACAATACTTTATAACAATATGTGTCTTATTAACTGTCCCGTATGAATTGATTTAGCTTTATCTAGTTTTAAATAATACCATTGCTGATATGGTGCCATTACACATTCTATCATCCTTTTTCTCAACTGAATGAATCACAGCAGCAATTATTTCACTGTAAAAAAAAGCTTTCCATCACATATCAGAAAAAGTACAATATCCAAACTCAAAATGTAAAAATTCTGACTTACCTAAGCATCTCATCTCTCCTTCCCATTTACCATTTCTACAGGTTTTAAATGGATCACCCTCCATAGTATATCGAGAAAAACAGCTGTATTCAACTCTTTCACCCTCTTGGTAATCTGGCTTAGTAAATAAAACTGTGTCTCCATTGTCAACCTGTGGGGGATGTGAACAACCTGAAGACCCTAAGAGAATGTAAGCAGGAACGGAAAAGTAGCTTTAGATGGTGCTTGATCACACTTTTTTCAAATATACACATAGTATACATACAGTTTTGTGAAATATTTCTGACGTTATGTGACTATTGTCATTTGTATTTTATTTTTGAAATGCTTGTAATTTCAAACCACTAACAATATTTTAAAATGTATTTAATGAACTTTTAGAATAAAGAGTCATGTAACAAAGTTTACATTTCAACTTTGTTATTGATAATATTTTTACATGTATGTAATAAACTTTACATTTCAGTTTTGTTATTGAAAGAATTTAAATTGTTCCCCAAATTAAATGATAATGATCTGATTGATATCATTCAATAAGATCTGATATATTATCATGACACATTTTATTGTTTTTAATTTCAACTTCAAAAATCATGAGCAGCAATAAATCCATGGTAAAGAACAGCTCTTAGATCATATATTAAAAATAATACAATATGCATATTAAAATATTGACTTACTAATGCATTGCATATCTCCTTTCCATTCACCATTCTCACAGGTTTTATATGAGCCACCCTCTAAATTATAGTTATCCCGGCAAAAGTATTCAACCTGTTCACCATGTTCAAAATATGATCTTGTGCTTCTGGTTTCTCCATTTGGTAGAGATGGTGGTGCTGAACAACCTAAAGCCCCTAGATCAAAATAGACAATAAGGAAACATTTTATTCAAATTAAACTTATTTGTAATCTGTCTCTCTACAAACATACCACAAACACTCACAGACAAAATTGTTTTTACCCTCATTTAATGGAACAAAAAGCCAAAATGATCACAGAAATTACGTGAATCTCAATACAAACTCTACAAATGTAAACAAATGAAATTTGTGCATTGTTTTTTTTTCTAACCATCCTTCAACATAAATATTTTAGAAAAAAAAAAAAAAAAAAACAGTCTAAGAAGCCGATGGATTGTTTTTATACATTGGGTCCAATTGGTTCAATAAATAGAAAAATAACATTTAAAAGCTGCCTTTTTTGTTTACTCGTTATAATGATGTAATATCAAAATGTGTCTGACCATCTTAAATGTTTCTGTAAAGAAAGGGAAAATCTACATGGGGACTTTAGTTAAACATACCAGAGCAGGTTGGAAAGGAGGGATTCCATTGTCCATTTTGTAAGCATTCAATTTCCATTGATCCATCCAGTTGATAATCAGCACCACAGAGAAAACGCAACTTGTGTCCCACGGTGATCGGTGCACCGGCTGAAGGTATTCCACTTATATACAGATGAGGATGCAGTACACCAATTTCACAAGTGTTTACTGAAAATCAAACAAGGAGTAAATAAAGCATTATAATACAGTATGTCAGGAATTTTGACTATAAAGCAAAGAAAACCTAATCCTCAGTATTATTAATTAATTCACAGATTGCCCCTTTGCCTTTGAGAACTGTCATTTCATAGACACCAACAATCCTTGTAAACAAAACAGTTTACTATATGGGTGACTTTATGTTCAATAAGTGAAACATATGATTTATCATAAAAAAGAAGAGAAAAATAACTCATAAGAATAAAAATAATATTGATAAAAAACAAATGTATATAAAATTTCCTTTTTTAATTGAGGTAACCAAAAAAATTATATTTCTTGTTTGTATACTCTCCTAGCGACCTCAACTACCAGTAGAAGAAGTTTCACTTACCAGTCTGTGACCAGGAAACATTCAAGCAAACAAAAACCTGGAGAAAAAGGAATATAAACCACATTTTACTGCCTGTGTTGAACTGATGTCTTCTTTGGAAAATGTTACTTTGTTTGCCTCACTTTGGTTTCTGTTGGAGCATGAAATGGGTTAGAAATGGACAGCCCACAGTGACATCACCTTTCCCTATTCAGTGTACCTTCAATAAATGCAAAAAGGCAAGCTATGGAAGCCCTGAAAGGCAAAAAGGAAAAAGAAATCTGTATAAGAAAAGTTCAATTTATCCCTTTTTTTTTAGCTGACCTAAAAAAGGCCTTAAAGCTTACTTTCAGTAAATGCTTATCATAACATGTCACAAGTAATTAGACATGGGTGTAAGAAATAACATGAAAACAATTTAGATATGAATGCTTTATGATTATTACACATATCTGTGAAGATTCTCAGTCATCCAGGTCATGGTGAAGCTTGAAAAGTTTAGTTTAGGCAACCTTATTTGAAGTTCTAATTGGTGGTGAGGAGCACTGATTAATATACTGTAGGTGTAACAAAGAATTAGGTGAGGGAAAAAGAAAACAACAAAAAAACAAATACAAAAGGTGGCTCTGATCCCTCCCACTGGATTGTCCTTGGAGGTCACCTGTGGGGTGTTAATGGTCGTTGGAGTGTTTAATGGGTCATTAGCTCCATCATCAGAGTGGTTTCAGTCCCATGCCTCATTGAAGTGTAAGTCTGATGAGGGCAGGTGAGAGGTAAGGCCCCGTCCACACGAAGTCAAAACGAACACGAAACGCTGATATTTTCCAAAACGTTTGCCGTAAAGACGGAGACGTAAAATAAATGTGAGCGTCCACACGAATGCATGAAAACGCTGCAAAATGTATGCCAGGCCTGTAAGTGGCGCTGTGGTGCCAAAGCAAAAATAAGCGACGAAATGTAGGGCATGCGCACTAATATTTATACATGTTTGCCCTGCGGGTCTATTTTCGTGGTTAAGTCAAATTCAGGTGCTGAACTATGTGGTCGATATTGCTCTGTTCTTCCTGGAGATATTCCAGAAGAAGAAGATTCTGTTGTAAGCCCGACCAGCCCGACAGCAGGGTGAGTAGCATTAGCAGCAACGGCGCCATTGTTTTTGTGATGTGTCGCGCTTGCGTGTTTAGAGGCGACGCTATGACGCATGCGTGTAAAAAAAAAATGCGGTTAGGGTGTAAACATGGAAACGCGAAAACGGCGTTTCAGATTCTTCCCACTCTGAAGGGTGAATAAAAAAATGATCGTTTACAGACCCCCGAAACGCCGGCTTCGTGTAGATGAGAGGCTGGTTTGGTGAAAAATTTGTGCGTTTAGGCCAGGGTTCGTCTTCGTGTGGACGGGGCCTAAATCTTCTGAGCAATGTTCCTGAAAGGGCTTTGAAAGTAGATGACAGGTTATGTCTAAGACCACCTGCTCTGTTGAGAGATGGTTTTTCAAGGTTAACAAAGATGGCTTCCTTAACCCCTCTCTCAAACCATCTTTCTTCCTTGGCCAGAATATGGAAATTGTTGTCCTCAAACAAGTCTCTTTTAGTCTTCAGGTGTAGGTGAACATCTGAGTCCTGTTCTGAGCAATTAGCCCTCCTGTGTTGAGCCATGCACCTGTGTAGAGGTTGCTTGGTCTTTCCAATGTACAGCTTTATGCACTTTTCACAACACTGAAAGGCAGTGGCGGCCGGCCCATAGGGGGCGCTGGGGCACCGCCCACCCTGATAAGAAGAGAGAAACTTAAAATATATTTTTACAAATTAACTCATAAATGTCAGTTTTACTCTCTAGAGTGTGTACCTATAAGCAAAACTAATTATATAAACTACATTTCCCTAACTACTGTCATTCATTCGTAGATTTTCACAGACAGACTCCTACCGTTTCTGTCTTGGGGCTTTGATTAGACTGCCCCACATGTGCAGAGAATCTGCCAATCATGTACTATTGCTAGGTCAATTTAATAATTTAATGGCCAATCAGCGTCTCAGAATTTTATGGTCTTGGGGCGCTGAAAATACTACCCTTTAACAGGCTTCTGCACCCAATGCGCAGGTGCAGACAATTAGAGGGACGATGGCGAACGTAACGAGCGAGGTGCAGCTTCCACCAAATTCGGTGAGATCCTTATTTATCTACCCGTTTGCCAGAAGAACATCCCTGTTGTAGGATATGAAAATTTCATGTCATGGTTACCGTGACTGTGACGAATCCATCTCGTCACTTAAAAGAACCTCTCTAACTTTGCGTGCCACACACACATTCCTGTTATACTGTGCTTGTGAGGACCAATACACTTGCGCATTACCGAGGCAATGCTCAGTAAGCTCTTGTATGATCTGGTTGAACTGTAAAGTG